TGATGATGATGATGATGATGATGATGATGATGATGATGTCGATGACGCTGATGCTGATGCTGATGCTGATGATGCTGATGCTGATGATGCTGACGATGATGATGATGATGCTGACGATGATTATGATGATGACGACGACGATGACGATGATGATGATGATGATGATGATGATGATGATGATGATGATGATGATGCTGATGCTGATGCTGATGATGATGATGATGATGATGATGATGATGCTGATGACTGATGCTGATGATGATGATGATGATGATGATGATGATGATAAACATATGGATGATGAGAGATGATGATGATGCTGGATGATGATGATGATGATGATGATGATGATGATTGCCGCTGCTGGGCTGCTGCTGCTGCTGATGAGATGATGATGATGATGATGAGATGATGATGCTTCGCTGCCTGCTGCTGCTGCTGCTGCTGCTTGCTGCTGATGATCGATTTTGAGGAGAGGAGGAGGAAGAGGAGGAGGACGAGGAGGGAGGAGGGCGGAGGAGGAGGAGGCGGGACGAGGAGGAGGAAGGAGGGGCGGGGGGGGGGGTAGGGGATGAGGAGGAGGAGGAGGAGGAGGAGGAGGAGGAGGAGGAGGAGGAGGAGGAGGAGGAGGAGGAGGACGTGGAGAGGAGGAGGAGGAGGAGGAGGAGGAGGAGGAGGAGGAGGAGGAGGAGGAGGGAGGGGTGGAGGAGGAGGCGGAGGAGGAGGAGGAGGACCAGTGTAGACTCAAGTGTCATCAAGCAGTTTGGAGTAAACCCTCCCTCCAAGCTCTCTCTCAGGCCCTTGCAACGGTTCATTTCCACTGATGGAACTGCCTCGTTGGAAGACACCCATTTGACGACCCTGAAGCATGCTGAAACATTGTTCTCGGGATTCCAAAACCACCGATCAACCTGACTGTTGCGCCTTGACGATCCTCAGTCGTGCCAGAACGCCATGCCTAGGAATTCAAGACAACGAACCAACGTAACTGTTGCACCCGCAGAACCGGGAATTCTTCTAAACACGCCATGTCTGGTACGTTGATTATGGGACTCCGTGAAGCTCTTGCATTTTTTAAATTCGAATTTGCGCGGCGCTCAGGCGAGAGCCACATTTTGAGAAGGAACCGCCCTCAATCCGTGCAGCTCTTGATTCTTGTTAGAATGAATGTGCGCGGCCCTAAGGCGAGAGCCACATTTTGAAAACCACTCGCCCTCAATCCGTGAAGCTCTTGATTTTTTAACGAGTGTACGCGGCGCTAAGGCGAGAACCACAGTTTGAAAACCATTCCCCCTCAATCCGTGAAGCTCTTGCAAATGTTCAAAACGAATATGCGCGGCGCTAAGGCGAGAGCCACATTTTGAAACCACCCGCCCTCAATCCGTGAAGCTCTTAAATTTTTAAAACGAAGGTGCGCGGCTCCAAGGCTAGAGCCACATTTTGAAAACCACCCGCCCTCTATCCGTGAAGCCCTTGCAAATGTTAAAAACGAGTGTGCGCGACTCTAAGGCGAGAGCCACATTTTGAAAACCACCCGCCCTCAATCCGTGAAATTGTTGCCAATGTGGTAAGCTTCAGAGTCACCTGGTGAGGAAGTCTCAGGCGAAACGCCTGGCCCGCCCTAAAAACCGGCCTCGGGGTGCGAAAGGAGGAGTTATTTTTAGGGCAAAGGGATGGAGGAGGAGGAGGCGGAGGAGGAGGAACAATAATAATAATAAACAGAAGAATAAGCATACTAATAACAATGCTAAGAATATTAATGAAAAGAACAATAATAAGAATAATAGTAATAACACTCATACGGATAATAAGAATAAGAAAATAATAATACGAAGAAGACGATTAATAAGACTAGTCCTTCTACGAAGAAGAAT